ATTGAAAGTACCGTGGCTTGGGTCAGGTGCACCTTAGTCCTCAAAGTGACATCTTTGCTTTTGCAGAAGATTGTCCAATGCAATACATCATCTGATTTCTTGACTGCTGCTTCTATGGGTGTTGATTGTGGATCCAAGTAAAATGAAATCCCTGGCAACTTTAATGCTTTCACCTTTTATTGTGATGTTCCTTATTGGTCCAGTTGTAAGGATTTTTGTTTTCTTTATGTTGAGTTGTAATCCATACTGAAGGTTGTAGTCTTTGATCTCCATCATAAGTGCTTCAAGTCCTCTTTGCTTTCAGCAAGGAAAGTTGTCATCTGTGTATGGTGGGCTATTAACGGGCCTCCCTCCCATCTTGATGCTGTGTTGTTCTTTATATAGTCTAGCTTCTCTGATTATTTGCTCGGCATACAGATTGAATACATCTGGTAAAAGGATGCAAACTTGATGCATAAATTTCCTGATTTTAAACCCTTGTTCTGCTTGAATGCCTTGGAAACCTTATGGTTGTTATGGGTCAGAATCAACTCCAGTGCATTAATACCACCAGTGTACTCCCCTCCTTTGCTTTCCTGATGAACTTTATTCCTTTCTTATAGTTCTATGACATGTCAATCAGTTCTCTAGGGAGCAGTCCCTAGAGAAGGACATCATGTTTGGTAAAGTAGAGGATCAGCAAAAAAGAGGATGCTCCTCAATGCAATGGATGGACACAGTAGCTGCAACAATGGGCCCAAACATAACAAATATAGCAAGGTTGTCTATGGCTTAAGAGCTTTACAGGTAGACCAGGGTGTGAGTCTTGCCTCTACTACTCAGAAGCTGTGCCATTTAGCTTCCCTTGAGCTCTGGTAGCATAATGGCTAAAGCACTTGACTGCTAACCAGAAGGCTGGTGGTTCAAATCCACCAGCCACTCCTTGGGAGGAAGGTTGGGCAATCCTACTTCCGTAGTGATACTGCCTCGGAAACCCAAGGAGGGGTCGCTATGAGTCGGTGACGACTCGATGGCACATAACAACAACAACAACAACAATCTCTTCCTCTGTAAAAGGGGAATAACTGTAATAATTACCTCTCACAGTGCTTGTGAATATATGGAAAACTCTTAATAAGTGCCTACACACTCTAAGTGTTCACTAAATGTTGTTGTTGTTGCATGCCATCAAGTTGATTCCAACTCACAGCCACTCCACGTGACAGAGTAGAATTGCTGTGTAAAGTTTCCTATTGTGTGATCTTTATGGGAACAGATCACAGGTCTTTTCTCTCCCCTGCTGAGTGGGTTTGAACCATTAGACCTTTCAGTAAGCAGTTGAGTGCTTACCCATTGAACCATGATGACTACTAGCTACTACTAAGCTTCTTTTCAAAGAAAAGTTAGTTGGAAGATTGTCCTTCCACAGTATTCCTGTCTACTTCTATTGTAGCCTTCAGGGCATTATAATGTTTTCTGCTGTCTGTTTTCCTTGGTAGATCATGGCATCCCTAGAACAGATATTGCCCCATTTACCTCTGCATTCCCAACATCTAGCACACTATTCACCTAATTACAACAATGGTAACTACAGTGTGAGCACATACTATGGTCTGGGAACTGTGGCCAGACCTTTATACACTTCCTTAAAAACCCACTGCCATTGAGTCAATTTCAACTCATAGTAGCCCCCATAGGGTTTCCAAGGTTGTAAACATTTATGGAAGCAGACTGCCTCATCTTTCTCCTGTGGAGCAACTGGTGGGTTTGAACCATGAACTTTTTCAGTTAGCACCTGAATGCTTGATCCACTACAACACCAGAGCTCTTTACATTTGCCTTATCACAGCCCTGCGAGATCAGCATTATTGTTCCCATTTCAGAGGTGAGGCAGCTAAGATACAAGAAGGTTAAATGATATGTCTGAGGTTGTGAAGGCTGAAATTAGTAGGGCTTAGATTTGAGCCCATTCTGTGCTTCCTGAGAAGCTCTTTTCCTCTGTCACATGACTGTTCATACTGTTGTTAGATGTCATTGGGTCAGCCCCTGGTTCATGTCTACCCCATGCACAAAGGAACAAAACACTGCAATAGGCTCAGTCCTGGGCCAGCCTCATGATAGGCTTGGAT